TTATTTTTCTGCCCCGGCGACTCATAGGGGTTAATAAAGCCGAAAAACTTTCGAAAACACATTTTGGATATTTTTGGACCCTCTTCCTGCAAAATAAAAGCGAGAACAGCAAAAGGCAAAAATTAAAAATAACGACGGGATCTGAACCTTCGACCACTAGCTTGCCACACACCTTACCCCCACACCAACGGCCCGACGGGAAGGGGCTCTTGGGAAGACTCCAAGAGGGCTCCCCTGTGGCTAACGGTTTTGGCGCCCCAGGTCGCGATTCTAGGTAGTTTTCCATACAAAATCTTAAAATTAAAAGTTTATTAAACAAAAGTGCCCATTGGCAGCTAATTTTTATAGCATCGTGTTCCCCGTATCTTATTTGATTTTTCCACCAATTTTGAGCTGTTTTGGACTCTGTGACCCCACAACCTCTACATGTCAGACGGGGCCAGGGTTGAAAAGTCGCGAAGCGGCTTTTCAACCCTGGTATATAAAAAATAGTGTTTGTGTGTGTGTGTGTGTGTGACACTTTGCATGCAACTTCCGTCAGGGTGTCCGGAGGATATCTCGATAGGGAATGAATTTTATGGTATGTATGATACGTCATTAGGTGCGTAATGGCTCTGAGATGACTGCACGCACATCAGATTTTTCGAAATTGCCTATTTTCAACATTAAATTTAGGTTTTTGTTAAAAAATCGACGACCTTCTTTGTTAGGAAAAAATTAGCATGTGCCGTTCCGGTCGCCTATATAATGGGTAGAGAGCGCGATTTTCGTTTTTGTCACAGGAAGTCCAAGAATCATGCAAAGTCAGGTATATCATGAGATCAGACAGGGCCAGGGTTGAAAAGTCGCGAAGCGGCTTTTCAACCCTGGTTGGGATCTGAAATCTATAACGAAAACGGGGTTTTTCAAATCCGATTTTTCATGAAAAATCAGGTTTCGTGGAATTTTGGCATGGGTCTCGATATATTTTGAGTAGTGGAGAGTTGAAATTAAACGCGTGTCGGGTTTTTCCAGCTGGTATAAGGGGATTCGGGATTTCTGTGATTTTTCGCAATTTTCTAGAAAAAAATCGATGTTTTACCAAAACTGAGATCCGATTTCGTTAATTGACACTGATCGCTAAAGGAAGTGCGCTTCTATAAAATTGTGAATAAACGGAGCCATGAAAAGAAGAAAAAAACGAAAAGCCAGGAAAATGTCCTCCAACCTCACCGTGGAAATTTCGATAAATTCGACATTTCGATAAAAAGACCAAAATTCCCTTCAAAAGCTCAAATTCAGTGAAAAACGTTGGCATTAACAACTTTGGTCATTCTAGAATAGTGACATTAGAAAATTTGACATTATAAACTTTCGACATTATGGTTTTCGACATTGTTTTTCGACGCTATGACAGGACATTTTATTCGGAGTCGCATGTTTCAAAAAACAAATTAAATCTGGGTGTCGGAGCCAAATTAATTCAGGGAGCCACACTGCCAAATAAAATCGCCGAAGAAATTAGCGCCAGGTTATATAAATAATTTTATTAAAAACATTTGGTATTTAAAGACGAGATAAAGAAGGAATTTTCTACGACTAAAAACGTTTTCCAAACTCCTTCCAAGCCCCTTTAAATAGAGCTAAAGCTTGGGGCGAGTCATTGGATTGGAATTCCGGAAGGGTATTCCTGACGTTTCTGGATTTGGCTGGGATGACGCATGGTATAAGGAGCCGGTTTGGCGCCTCAGGGCAGGCTTAGATCGCGCCTTAGTTTTTTAATAAATATTTTTATTCATTTTAATGATGAGATTATCCAGGGAAACCGCTACGATTATAACTAGAAATTTTCTGAAACATAAAATTTTTTGTTTTGGATTTAAATGGGCAAGACGATTTGTTGTTTTTAGGAAAATATTTCCTCACAATGTCGTTCTAAGTTTTGAATTTTAAACACCTTTACAAGAATCCGATTTTAATTATAGCGTATAATTTGAAATCGATGCACTAAAGTGCGTCGACAGCCAGGCGGTGAAAGGGGTCGATTCAGCACTTTTTTTGCCACAAATTGATGCTTTGGCTTAGGCTGATAAATTATAATCTGTATTAAAAATTTGGATTAACGTGTTTCAGGGATCTATATGATTAAAAATTTCCAAAGAAAATTAATGCGCGATGTTTTGTATTCGGTTTCACTTTTTTTAGAAGCCGTATCGATTTTTATTACGAAAATTAAACATTAAAGAAAAAATGTCGGACCGCCGATAATGCAAAAGAACCGTAAAATCGAGTTGCATATTGATTTTGTAATTGATTTTATTGATTTAATGTAATATAACATTGAGACTACAAACTGCGGCAAGTACGAAAGTGTGTTACATATTAAAAGGTTACGAGGTGCTGCTCATTTTCAGATGACTGACATGAGCCGGATACAGGGCCGGAGGATTCCATAACATTCCACGGTACACCCGTTTGGAGGATGGAATTGGAGGGAATTGGAGCATGGCCCAGAAAACGGCTTTTCGCTCGCCCTGATAGATAGACAACCCCCCATCAAATCGTCGTCCCCACCCAAGGGGCATCAACCCATTTCAAAACGAAGAGAAAGAACGGCTGCATGGCTCTGAATCGCTCAGAGCTGCTTTTTAAAGGGACGGGAAAGCGTAAAAATTCCGAAATACCGACAGCCGAAATATCGACACGCAAATCGCTGTTTCAACTGAAGTAGCATTCGGATCAGCATAGAGAATATGTCGACATTTGGCCTGTCGGGATTTTTGCTGTCGATATTTTGGTTGTCGGTATTCGGAATCACCCGACTTATCAGCGCTGCTTTTAAAGAGACGGACAAGGGTAAAAACGCCGAAATACCGGCAACCGAAAAATCGACAAAAACACCGACAGGCAAAACCGCGACAGCAAAAATCACTAAACCATAACCTAGACAGGCAAAATACGGACAGCTGTTCCAGACGGCCAGAATGCCGACAGCCGAAAACTCGACATCCGAGATCCTGAGAACGAAAATCCCGACAGCCAAAATTCCCATGCCGAAATCCCGGTGCCCGAACATCCCGCGCCAAAATCCCGATAAAAATGCCGACAACAAAAACAACGACACCCATGATCCCGACAGCCAAAACCCCGAAAGCCGCCTGAAAGCCGAATTCCCAATTCCCCGAGGCCCAATCCCGATATGCCATTATCCCGACAGTAACTTCCGACACGCATCTCGACAACCTCGACATGGCAAAACCCGTTTTAAAGCGTCCTAAAAAACGCTGCCCAAACCAAGCCTTTTAATCACAAGTTTCAACGATTTATTAAAGCGAGGATTTGGTAATAAAATTAGATACATACTAAAAATTACAGTGCTTGAAATTAGTGGCAAGACCAAACATGCGAGAATTGAGTTAGATAAACTGCAGCGTACGAGGAACATTCTCGAAACATATTCTCATTACGTCGCAAAATATCACCAAATACCTGAAGCCCTCGGGCACCGAAAACTCATTTTACGGGCCCAGTTTATGTTTAAAAAAAGTTTTTAAGTTATTCTTGAAAAAAACCGGTGCTTTAATGTGGTGTTTGAAGCAATACTTTTCACAACATTCTATTGGTCAATTATAATCCCTTTTATAAGGCAAGGGAAAATAGTCCCTATATTCCAAGCTTTTGAGTAGTTTTTGAAATGTAATTTTTACCAATTATTATCCCAAAAGTATTCAGAACATTAGATAAATTCCTCAACATATTTTTCTACAAAATATCTTGTTCTTTCAGGGTAAAAACGGTAATGAAAGAGCGACTTCTTGATAAAATTATGTTCTACAATGCCGGTCGTACGCTACAGTTTAGGTGAGTCAATTGACGGAAGTTCGCATCGAGATTAATTTTCAGCATTGTAATTTTTAATATTTTTAACCTAATTAATTTTCTACCATCTTCGAAAGACCTGTTCGTGCTGATGGCGCAGTGTATGTTGTAAAAATCGGCGCTTGTGCCGAATCACTGAAACATTTAATTTTACTTGGAAAAGTGTGCAAAAATTTCTGCAAAATTATGTTTCGAATTTACCGGATGTGAAAACCAGCTCAACCTTGTTCGGGGTAATACCTTCGAACGACAAGGATGAGGAGCAAGAGGTTGGGGCTGACCTTTCGCTTTAGCTGACCGAATCTACGAAAAAAGAGAGGAAGCGGAAGAGAGAGTGAGAGAGAGAGAGAGTGAGAGAGAGAGTGTGGGACCATAGATAAGATGGGAAACTGGGGAAAGGTCAACTTTATCACCGCCGGATTTCCATTCTTCCCCCTTCTATCTGAGGAGGGTGAAAGCGGTGACCCGAATTTTTTGGGTGGCGTTGAAAGAGATACCCGTGGGCTCCATTCAACCACCACCATCACCATTGATATCACAGCGTGTAGGGGGAACAACTCGCTTTAAAGGGACCGGCAAGGCGGGGCTTTATCGTACCGGAATTATAGCTTTTTTAGCGCTTTTGCTATCATTATCTCGAAATTCAACTTGTAGAAATTCTTTTGTGGAATGTGGAAAATTCAAATTTCGACGTATTCAAATCCGTCAAAATAAAATTCTAGCAAAATGGCGAATGACTTTCGGCGTCATAAATTTCCACCAAAGTGTTCTTGGCAACATTAAAGTAATTTATTTAAATCCATGTTAGCTCGCTGGCGGAAAAAAAACAAGTTTCAGTCAAAATATGTATAAAGAAGATATGCACGCGCCGCAATGGAGTCGGGTTACGAACTTTTTAAAAATTTATAACGGATTTTGAATTAAAAATTAGCATCTTTCTTTTTGTGTCAATAAAACAAACCAACATAACAAAATCCTTAAAGGAAATCTAAGTCCCACGAAATGTGCGAAACGGCACGCAAGGGGTCCTTTTAATATGCTGCAAGATTCTTGGTTCGAATTCGCGCTATAAATTAGCATAATTCGGATTTTTCTGCATTCATATAAACCTCTAACCAAGCGAAAAATTATTGCATTTCGAAATGGGCGTCACCCTCGATCCGCCGACTACGGCGCTGCCGGCTTCCGGTAATTTTTGTGAATTTGCTCGTGTTGGAACGAACTGCTGCGGCTATTTGTAGCTGTTCAAGCTTCGTTTTTGAAACATGTTTTGCTGCCAATTTTCATGTCTAGGCGGCTCGTCGAAGCACGTGCTGAGCAACGACAACGCGAAGCGCCTCGTCTTCAAGGTCGGCAGGCGCAGACGTCAAAAAACTTTAAAACAACTTTAAATGGTGCTTTGCGGTTAGCGCGGGGGGAAAGTTCGCGATTACAGCGGTATATGGCAGTAAAATATAGTGGCATTTTCATTTTTTTTTTTGGTGCAGAGGCATAGTTTTTCTCAAAGGCAGCTCAAAAATGCGTCGCAAAACTCGATCAGAGATCCATAGCTAGAAAAGGCAATTTTGCCTTGTTTGTGGTCCTTTAAAATGGTGATACTTTCCAGGTGAAATGCTCGAACAACGGCCACCTGCGCGCGAAGCCAGTCTTCGGATTTTGCGAGCCGGCCCACAAGGTTGAGATCGAGGTGACACGACTCGAGGGACCGCCCAGGGTACGCTAATTCAAAAAGCCCTCATTTTTATCCGGGAGAATTGCTGCACATTAATATGACCTGTAGCGCCATCGTATGTTAACCGATTTGAAACCTTTTTTTGTAACATCTCATTTCTGATTTTGGTTCATTTGCATTATCGGGGGCGCGAACGTATTTATATAAGCCTAGAAATAGGACGTGTTTTAATAGTGTTTTTAGTAATATATAACGCTATTTCGACTAGAAAAACGGCTTAAGTGCAGTTTACCCCCCCAGCCCAGCTCCTCAGCCATACGTCCTATTAATGCGCCGAGTATCTCAAAATGTTCGCCGTGGTCGAAAACCCCTGGAAAAGTTGTTTACTTGCGCCAAAAATTGTTAGAAAATTTTTTACAAAATTTTGAAAGTCTGGGCAAAAGTTAATTTGTGCACAATGCCAAACCAAAGTGAGCTCAAATCTCGGATAAAAATTGTCGTACGCTAACATTCGAACCAACATGTAGTCTTATTCTACAGAGTTTGCCTACAGTACGCCTTTAAGCTACGACTAAATATAGCCGAAAACAAAAGTAATTTTTGACCCAGCAACATACATAGGTTGCTAAAACAACCAGACTTATAATTCTTATAAAAATTTTTTTAACAATTTTTGGCGCAAGTAAACAACTTTTCCAGGGGTTTTCGACCACGGCGAACATTTTGAGATACTCGGCGCATTAATAGGACGTATGGCTGAGGAGCTGGGCTGAGGGGGTAAACTGCACTCTAACCAGAAAAACTATCTAAAAACTTGGTAGAAAATCGGCCGTTGTTATTCGAATAATTGCCATATTTGACATTTCTTCGTAAAAATTTGTAAAGTTTTCACGTTAAGGAATAGTAAAAACCCTTTTGGGAACACTTTTATTACTATTTATAATTGAAAAATTAAGTCGTAAGAAAAAAAGCTGGTCCCCCAACCGGAATATGACTTAACTAATAATAAACGTTACTTTTCATACATTTTGTGTAATCTCTCATTTATTGTTTTTGCCAGGATGACCGTTTCGTCATCGAATTCGCCGATGCGCCCGAGGGGTCGGAGACCAAGGAGCCACAGTCCGCTTTTATGTAGGGGATCCAATCGCCAATCCACTACGTCGGATGTAAAAGCCAAAACTTTAAAATTCGATGAAACATAAGTTTGCTAATCAAAATAATTGTTGTTATCGCAACATTTGCATTGAATTTTAAATTCGTGTCTTGAATTTTCATATTATAGATTTTCTTAATCTTCATCGATTTATTATCAAAATGCCGAAGTTCAGTATTCATAATATCGAAATTCAATGCCGATGTTTCATAAAGCTGAAATTGAAAACGAAAAAATTCCAATTCTGATTCTAATTTAAAATAAAAAATTAATTAAATTAAAAAAATTCTAATTGTATGCAAATCCTTTCTTTAATGATCAATCGATCGATTCTATCTTTTCAGGCAAATCGGCGAGACGCAGTCGAAGCTCGTGCTCCCCATCAAGACCGAATAGCCACCGCCTTCGCATTACGATTAACCCCGCCGACAACCTGACCATTTGAATATATCGATTGCATCCCATTCTATGTCTATTTGCTTAATTATTTTTATGCGGATTACAAGGTGTAATAAAGCAACGCACTTGTCATAAAGCCATTAACAACCTTCGCTTTTAGCCAAACTGATTTGAGGGCGAAACATATTTTTTCTGGATTCTCGAAATTAATTTAAAAATTAAAGGTTATTTTCTAATATAAAAATACAGTATATAATATGACTTTAATATAATAAATTACCTAATTTCGAATTCATCAAATTTTTGTAATACATCTAGGGCAAGTGTTGCAAGCTCTTCTACTATATTCCTAAACGCAAAAACTTTGCAAATTGTTTTTAAAAATCAAAAAATATCATACCGATTTTTCGACCAAAATTTAAATATTCTGACGTTTTTCGATAGTTTTACACTTCAAATATAGTTATTATCTTATTAAAAACCCTACAAAAACATTTATATGCTGTCAGAGTTAGGAAAATCCGTCCCCTACCCCCCCCCCCGATATTGCGAAAGCACCGAATTAAAATGGCAGAAAATAGCAAAAATTGTCAAATCAAATCACTCGAAAATTCGTGCAGGCTAGCAAAGAGCCTTAAATCATCCGTATTTGAATTTTAAAATAATGCAGTTGAAAGAGGCGGCACAACGGTGGGGGGGGTGTGCTATAATTTTGTTAGCAGGTAGGAGGGTATAGCCGGAAAATAAAAGTAGACTGATAAGTCACACGGAACAGAATAGCCGCGACGCGCGCCGTGCGCGGCTGTTGCACGGCGCGCGCTAAATTTCGCGGCGCGCGCACGACCCGCGCACGGCTGGTTGGTTCACGGTTTTTACTATTAATATTCGTCCTGTGGCTTTTCCTACTCTATTTTTTACTATCGACGTCACCCGTGCGCTAGCCGTGCACGGCGCGCGTACGGCTACTTCCACGGCTAGTCCACGGCTTCGTCACGCGCGCGCGCCTATCACGGCTAGCGCACGCGCCGTGCCTACCAGTCGCGGCTATTCTGTTCCGTCGTCTGGTTGGGGGTAATTTTTTGGAGCTACTACGCACCATTCCAAACGACTTTGAGCCCGGACAGATGGGCACAAAAACTTTTAACCCTCCGGTGTATCATCGCGTCAAGCAGGGTCGTTTTAATTCGATAAAGGTGTCTGTAACCGACGACCAAGGTCAAGAGGTCCCTTAATTTTTGGAAATCTATCGCCCTCCTCCATTGGAAAAGACTAGGCGAGAATGCCTTTTGCCAGTTATTTACAAAAGAAATTATCTTGTTAGTCCTAGCGATATTGGTTGGGGTTTTAGTGATCCCAAAAAAGTAAACCACCAAAACTTCAAAAGGGTGGTGGTGCATTTCCTCCATTTCGGAATAGCAAATTTTTACTCCCGGTCACGGTTCTGTTCTATTTCGCGGGGGAAACTGTGCGGGGGAAATAAGCTTCGCGGAAACTTCATCTTTTCGCTATTTTCTCGGGATTTTTGCAACGCCATTCGATAGAGCATCAAAAAATATACTAAGAGTTTTTGTTTTAGCTAAAAATATTGTAATATAAAAAAGTTATAGCAAAAACAAAAAAAACTATTGAAACTGATGCCGGAATATTAATTTTTGGCATTTTCGCCAGGTTTTCAATATTTTGAACCTGTCATTCGATAGAGCATCGAAAAATATACTAAGAGTTTTAATTTCATCGAAAAATATGGTTTTATAAAAAAGTTATAGCAAAAACAAGTTTTATACGGTGTTTCCACATGGGATCGTGGAGTCGAAAACTAGTTTTCGACATTTTCGATATTTTTTGAAAAATTCCTTAAATGCCATTCGATAGAGTGTCAAAAAATATACTAGGAGTTTTTGTTTTAGCTAAAAATATTGTAATATAAAAAAGTTATAGCAAAAACAAAAAAAACTATTGAAACTGATGCCGGAATATTAATTTTTGGCATTTTCGCCAGGTTTTCAATATTTTGAACCTGTCATTCGATAGAGCATCGAAAAATATACTAAGAGTTTTAATTTCATCGAAAAATATGGTTTTATAAAAAAGTTATAGCAAAAACAAGTTTTATACGGTGTTTCCACATGGGATCGTGGAGTCGAAAGCTAGTTTTCGACATTTTCGATATTTTTCAAAAATTCCTTTTATGCCATTCGATAGAGCGTCAAAAAATATACTAAGAGTTTTAATTACAACTCAAAATAGAATCATATAAAAGAGTTATAACAAAATGAAGAAACTTTCCCCCCCGCACAGTTTTTCCCCCCCGCGAAATAGAACAGTACCCCGGTCACAAACACTGTGACCTTGCCCACCCCCTCAAAAATACCCTTGAGACCTCCCGTTGAAACTTTCGAACCACCCGTTGAAACGACTGCTGAAAATTTGTTAAAAAACCAGGCATTTTTAATTGATTTTGCATTTCGTTTGGTTTGTTCGCCTTTTTTTGGTGTTGATTCGCCATTTCTTAACCATTTAGAATATGCTAAAGGTAGAAGAACAATTAAAAGATTACAAGACAACCGAGATCGAAACATTTCTGAAACATCCTTTTTCAAAATATCAATTTTAAAGCTTTCTCTAACAAGGAGTCGTTTTTGGGTGATATTGGAGTTTTTTATCGAGACCTAGCTAGTTATCGATAGAGAAAAAAATTCTGAACAAGATGTCGTTTTCCAAATCTGCTAACCGTGTGCGCTGTTCAATAAAAATTAATTTGAAGATCATTAATCTAACCATCATTTTCCTCCTGATCCGCTGATTCTGCGCTCGGGGTGCGCGTCAAAATAGCTCCCTTTACGCCTTCGTCGAGCCATGACCAGCTGGCCTATTGGTAGTGCGCTTGCTTCATAAGTTTTTGTCTTTTTTTGCCAGCGGGTTCGACTCCTCGCTAGTAAAACTCTTTTGCTTTTTGCTCGATAATGCCAATTTCAATTTCAATGGCATCAAAAACCAAAAAGCAAAACAAGAAATCACAATAAGTTCCGAACCCTAGGCATAATTTTGCAAAAGTTTGATCGGCGCCGGCACTATCCACTAGGCCACGATCTTATGCGGATGCTGGTTCGCGCTGTGGACTATGCCCCGGGCCTGATCCATGGGTCGCAGCCTGACGTCGAGGAATTTTTTCATTAAAAATAATTTTTATCGAACAGCGTACACGGTTAGCAGATTTGGAAAACGACATCTTGTTCAGAATTTTTGTCTCTATCGAACTAGCTAGGTCTCGCTCAAAAACTCCAATATCACCTAAAAACGATTGGTTTTATTGAAACGATTGAAGAAATTAAAATTTTAATTGATTTTGCATTTCGATTGGTTTGTGGCCTTTTTTTGGTGTTGATTAGAGTGAGGGAGCGGCAGGCCTCCTCAGGCTTTCTTGGGCCGAATTGCATTTCCGCGCCTGCCGACGCCTGGCGGAAGCCTAAGGATTTACGCAGGCTTTTTATGCAATGCGTGAAAACATGTTAATCTGGTTACTGCATCTAAAACGTTGGTATCTTTTGTCGTAATAACAAATTACAAGGATGCCGAAGGTGGGAAACATATAGGCAAGATATCAGGAGAAGCGATTGCATCCCCCGCCCGTTTGATCCGACTCTTGGCTTTTGTGTATCCGCGCGCTATTAACGTATCGTGCCGTAAAGTTTGTCAAAAACGGTACCCTAGCTTTGTAAAATATTCTTGGACCCAACACAGCTCTTCGACTCCCCGGAAATTTCAAAAAATCCTTATTTGTTCGGCAAAGCTTCGAATATTATACGACTTTACATAAAATTTCCAGATAAAGCCTGACTAATTAGAGCTCAGGCGTGCTTTGCATAGCCCAGGCTCAGCCTAGGCGATGCAAATTAAAAAAAAGCCTGATGAAGCCTAGGCAAGCTTAAGCCTAGGCCTCCCTCACTCTAGTGTTGATTCGCCATTTCCTAACCATTTAGAATATGCTAAAGGTAGAAGAACAATTAAAAAATTACAAGACAACCGATATCGAAACATTCCTGAAACATCCTTTTTCAAAATATCAATTTTAAAGCTTTTTCTAAGCGCATTTTTAATTGATTTTGCATTTCGATTGGTTTGTTCGCCTTTTTTTTGGTGTTGATTCGCCATTTCTTAACCATTTAGAATATGCTAAGGGAAGCACTTCGAGTTAAAAACACAGTCAAATGGCTACTAAAACGGTACTAGGTTTTCGCCTAAAATTAAGCAAAAAGCTGAAAGTGCACTGATTAAGTATTACAAAAAATTGTTTTCAATTTCCAAAATTAGCTGATGATGAAAATAGGAATCTATAGACTATCTCGGGACCGTTTCTCTTTGATTCAGCGTATCAACTTGATTTGTAACACCGAAACAACGATTGCTCACTGCCGATAAAAAATTTCTGCGGACTGTAAAAGTTTCGCAACATTTTCGAAACTCAGACTTTAGAAAGTCAGATTTTCGTAAAAAGGAATACGCAGGTCATCTGATATTTCTTGAATCTAATAAGCTGCGCCTAGGAAGCACAGCGCGCGACGAAATTTGTTATCAAAAACGGCCATTATTAAATCTAGGCAAAATATTTGCGTTTTGTATAGATTTTTGAAAGATTTAGCCTACATTCCTCCGAAATCGTTGGGGCAAATAGAATAAATAAATATTCGCCAGATTGCTTTTCGCAAATATTACGTGCTAATTTCATGGGGGGCTTACTGTCAAGTGTTTTTACTCAAGTTGGAGTTTCGATTCGGGACCAAGTGCATCTTGTGCAGAATTTTTTGCTGATTCCGAATCCGTTTTCCAAATTTGTTGCGGACTTTTAGTTAAAAATTCATTTTTGGATGCAAATTGGGCTTGAAAAAGCAAAAAACTCGGTTTCTGGCCCTCTATTCCCTTCTTGGTTTGATCTGGTCCAGGGGCTCACAGCTCCCTTCCCAGTTGGCACCATGGTGCATTGGCAAAGTACTCGC